AAATCAGATAGGGATGAACGGGTTTAAGAGTTTTTAAGAGTTTAAGAGTTTTTAAGAGTTTTAGTCAAATGCTTTATAATATAGTATAGATATTAACGAGATTTTGAGTTAGTGATACATAATTTTATGTTACAATTTTTTTTTTGCTGCAAACACCAAAATATAGTATTTGAAAATATATTCCCATAAAATAATCAATACAAAATACGTTCAAGTTTCATGCAATTTGCATACACGTCTTTAAAAAGATCCAAACTATACATTAAAGTTGTAGATGAAGACGTTTAACATTCCTTCCAAATGTATATTCTTGATGGAGGCTACAAAACTACATTCAGAGATAAAAGTAATCTTTTTCAACGTGTATGCTTCATGAAAAGGCGGGTTTTAGTTTATTGACCGAATTTATATGCCACTTATTCATAAATTTAAATTCATATTCAAGTAGTTGGCGCTTACTGTCAAACTCAAACTTATAGTTATATATATATATGTATATGTATATATAGAGTCATTCAAGGGAGAACTGGTTAGTTTGTGATAACTATGATATTTAATCACAACCACAAATCAATAGTTAAATTAGAAAACTAATAGTTTTGGTAATTTGACTTAAATTTTAATTAAAGAGCATTTTAGGTATTTTAAAAATCTTATATATCCTCTCTCATCTCTTCGTCGAACTTTATTCCGACAAACCTTATTCCGGCAAACACATGATGCACACCGTGATGACTTTCATAAAATAACAAAAAAACACAGTGTAATACACTTAGTAAAACAGCATTACTTGATATATTATGTTACCCTTCGTAAAACAGGAAAAATATATTGTGATACACTTCGTATAATGACAAAAGTACACTGTGATATACACTATGATACCAGATATGGTTGATGAATACAAATGTGATACCATTGTGTTACCACTGTATTACATACGACGTTACATCTTCAAAGAGATCTAGGTTACATCCAAAAACCTTACCTCTTCTATGTTACATATCCAACGATATATGGGTTACATCTCCGGCAAGATCTGTGTTATGTCCCCGATTTGAAATGAGATCTAAACAAAAACCAGAAATCGAAACCGAATTGGGTGGGCTGAAACCAGATCTCTTAGGATATGAAAAACCAAAACTGATCTGGGTTGTTCAATGGAGGGAGTCGTCCGGTGAAGGTGAGAGTTGAGGAGATGATGGCCGATGGTTGGAGATGGATGGAGAGTAAGAAGCAGCGGTGGCCGGCGACCGAAGATGGGGGAAGAAGGAGGGGTCGGACGGTGTTGGACAAAGGGATCTGTGTAGAGTATCGCACGAGAGAGGAAGCAGTTTTGGCCGGCGATGGGGAAAGAGAATCACATGTGGTGATCTCGTCCATTTTAATATATATACACACACACACATCTATTTCAAAATTAGAATATTAATCTAATTAGAGTAAATTGAATACTCAACACAATTTTTACTAATTTACCCTTTACTTATTTTAAGAAATCATAATAATTATCTTGAATGATTTGTTCATGTTAGATTTCACGGTTATCACAAACTAAATAGTTTTCATTTGATTAAACTCCTATATATATATATATATATATCATATAAGGAATTATAGAAAATACATCGACGAAGTGAATTAAATAAGGAGTATATATTTATGTTTTGCAAGAATAAACCTTATGCTATACTTTGACGGCAACCAATTATTACAAAACTATCAAGGACACTTAATGGGAACAAACAAGAGTTAGATGCCAATTAACTGTCACTTATCAGAAACATAGCAAGTTATCGAACCTGACAGCTAACTCTCTTTCTTATATTCAAATGTTGGGAAAATCGAAGTCTGTATCCATGGATAAACATTTTAAAATTGATTTATACAGAGACATTTTAAATGAATTTCGTGAATTAGAAACATCAGTAAAATCCAACGATCACAAGACAAATCTTCTTGCTTTACTTTGTTTTCTCCAAAGCCAAAGTTTGTTTTCATGTTACACTATGAAATTGCCACAATATTTCCCTTTATTTATTCATAATATCTGAGTATATAAACAATTATCAATACGTGTTTGTTAGTTCAAAAATCACACATCGGTTTCCCATGCCATGGCTCTTGTTGGTAATCGTTCATGGTTGATCTTTTTCATTGCTTTTGCGGCATTGCTACTCGTTTTGGTCAATGGCGATGATGTTTTTCTAGAGTGGCAAGTAAATATTGACACCACGATTAAACCTGTTTTAGCTGATCAACCGGTATGATATATTTTTCTTTTTCTTTTTGTTTTTAATTTCACTTTAGTACTAGATTCAAAATTTCATTAGTAGTTTGTTCTTTGACAATAGGTTATAACCATCAACGGGATGTTTCCTGGCCCGCTTATCAACGCGACCACCAATGACATTATACACGTTAATGTATTCAACAACATAGACGAACCTCTTTTGATAACTTGGTACGGTTTCTTGCTCTCTTCTTTTCGTTAGTTTTTTCGATAAAAATAATAAAAATCAAATATGATATTGTTATATATTTTTTAAAATAAAATATATATGCAATTAAAATTTAAAGTAATAAGCGCCAGGAATTTAATTATTTGAAAACTCCAAAATATGTGAGATCTATTTTAAGCCACTAATTTAAAATAATTAATGTTAATAATTAATGAGATAATCGTCGTTATTTTTAAGTAAAAATTAATGCTTTTTTTAAAATAACTTTATATTTATCTCTTTCTTTCTCTCCTAGTTCCCTATTAACATACACATCGTGCATATATTGTGAACATAATATAAACAACCTTAATAAACTTTTACTAGGGTGTTCCGAACACAAGATTCACATTTTTTTTGAAGTATATAACATTTATATACGGCAAATAGAACAAATAAACTCACACACCCTCCTCACATTTGGTGAGGTTTGAACCCTTGACCTCCTAAAAGGCTAATGACTCACATACCGCTAGACCAAAGGCCATTTGGTCACAAGATTCACATTATGTTGACAAGTGGTATGTTTATATTTGTTTTGTGTTCACAATATGTTCATAAACGATACCAAATCTAGTAGTTTTAAAGTGTGTTCACAATGTGTTCATAAACTATAATAATATTTATAAGACAATGTCCACAATGTTAACTTGAATTCATATTTAATTATGTGTGTACAGACATTTTATGAAAAGATGAAAGAAAAAAATATGAGAGAAAAGAAAAGATATTAGACCAAAAAAATAGGAAAGATGAGAGAGAACAAATGCTTTTAATTTATATTAGATTTATTTTTTCTAACTTATTTTTTGCTTTAAATTGGATATCAGATCTCACAAGCTAGTGAGTTCTTAGAGGAAGGCCCAACGTGCTTTGAGCCCATGGGCTCGTATAGGCCCATGGAGAGGTTCGGGTCAACCCATCTAACGAAACGGGTTGTATTTGATTTTCCAGGAATGGTATACAACAAAGGCTGAACTCATGGCAAGATGGAGTATCGGGTACTAACTGTCCGATCCTATCCGGTTCTAATTGGACCTATGTATTCACTCTAAAAGACCAAATTGGCACCTTCTCTTACTTCCCCTCCATCAACTTCCACAAGGCTGGTGGAGCTTTTGGCCCGATCCGAGTCAATAATCGGGTCGTGATCCCGATTCCGTTTCCTACACCAGAAGGCGAGTTCGATCTTCTTATCGGAGATTGGTACCAAGAGAGTTTTAAGGTACAACTAGGACGCCTATTTTTTATTTGAACGTGACATGTTACAAAACAATCAATGTTATAAAATATGTCACTAGTCATTCCGCATTTTATCCGAAAATGAGTTTTTTATTTATTTAAAACCGATTAAAAAAACGTATGGCACGTCTAAATCAACTTATTTTATATATCTGGTTGTTAAGAAATCCGGTAAGATTGGGTACATTGTTTTTGTGGTGGTGATAACTTACCGGGTTGTTATCGATTTTCAAAAATTTCAAAGTTTTACAATAATCAACGAACTTTCTCTCCATCAATCATCTTTGTATTGATTTTGTTTACGGGTAAAATTTTCAGGAAATTCGCTCTATTTTGAACAATTCGATTGTTAACCTACGCCCTAACTCGATGCTCATTAACGGGCATAGCCGTTATCCGCAAACAAGAAACCAAACCTTTGCTGTTGAAGCAGGTAAAACGTATCTGATAAGGATATCAAACGTTGGAACTGAATGGAGTATCAATTTCCGAATCCAAAATCACTTAATGCTACTAGTTGAGACTGAGGGGTCGTATACGAGCCAAATAATATTAGATTCGCTCGATATACACGTGGGCCAGTCTTACTCGGTTTTGGTAACAACAAACCAAGGTGAGGCCGACTACTACATGGTGGCGAGCCCTAAAATGGTTAACGTACCTGAATCGAGCACCCTGGTTGGTGTTGGGGTGTTACATTATGACGACTCTACTACACCTCCCCAAGGTCCGTTTCCTCTAGGGCCCGACCCATTTGACATTAATTTTTCTGTCAATCAGGCAAAAACAATCAGGTAAACGACAAAAAGCAAGATTTTTAGGATGTAGGTTCGTTTCAACACTAATTGGTTGCGTTTTTATAAGAATAGACAAGATATTGCTACATATAACGTAAAATGATATTGTATTTTAGGTGGAACCTGACCGCGGGGGCAGCAAGGCCAAACCCACAAGGAACATTTAATGTGTCGAATGTCACGTTATCCCAAACGTTTATTCTCCAAGGGTCGCTAGCTGAAATCAACGGCTACGCTCGTTACACTGTTAACAATGTCTCGTATCGTGTTCCGAACACCGCGTTAAAACTAGCCGATTACTATAAGAATGGCACGGGGACTTATCAGCTTGATGCTTACCCTGCTAATTCATCTAACCCCATTGCCAGTGATGGTACTTTTGTTGTTTCTGGGACTCACAACGGATGGCTTGAAATCGTGTTCAAGAACAATTTGCGAGTGATCGATACTTGGCATTTGGATGGTTTCGGGTTCTATGTTGTGGGGTAAGGATATCTATCGATAATTAACCAGAAAATCTTAAAGTGAAGCATAAAGCTTATGTAATTCTTCGGTAGGTTCGGCAATGGAGTATGGACCCCTGATATGCGATCAACGTACAATCTCTATGATCCAGTTGTTCGATCAACGGTTCAGGTGATTAACCGTATATGTTTCTATGAATGTGTTCAAATATCCTGTTAGAGTCCCACTCAGCCAGACTTATACGTTAGAAACACCAATCTTTCCTAAAGGGTTTTTTTAATAGTAATCTAACGGAATTTCATATATTTCACACTTTTAATGAAGTTATGACCGTGTAGGTTTACCCGGGAGGATGGACTGCGGTTTATGCATATCTAGACAACCCCGGAATGTGGAACTTACGTTCACAAGTGTTGAAGCATTGGTACTTAGGTCAAGAGCTCTATATTAGGGTTTATGACCCCGACCCGAATCCTGCTAAAGAACGACAACCCCCATCCAACCTTCTCTTTTGTGGTTCGTTAAGTTGTCATTAGTTCGTATTTGGTTTCGTTTACATTTTGTTATAATGTTTATTTGAAACCGTAGAGCAATCAACGATTTCTTTTGCATTTTTAGGATCCGTTATTCCTCCATCGCCTCAACCTCCGCCACCTCCACCAAAGCGGTCTCGTGCGACAACGCTACCCATAAACTGGTGATGGTCGATCTTGTTAATTATATATACGTATCGTTTTTGTGATAATGTTTTATCTAACATTCATATCTTTTTTCCATTGGATGTAACTTCAGGTTCTATCTTCTCTTGATCGTCACCTTCACACTTCTTTAAAACAAACCGGTATTTTAAAAGGGGGATATGTGCTTCTCGAATGATGCACGACTCGTCAAATGACTTCAACGAAGTCCATAAAGGCATCATTGGGTATTCGGTTACGGTGTTAGAATTTGTTGAATCATTTTTCAGCAAAAACTTGAATTATTTCGTATTTTTTGGAAGAATTATTGATATTTATTATATAAATAAACTGTTTTTTGAATAGTTATACAATACGAGTCTATATATATAGGAACCATGTCTACAGGAATTGAGTTGGGACTCGAGTTTATGAACCAAAATGTCAAGTCAAAGCTCGAGCCTTAAGCAAGCCAAGTGGGTAGCTTATAAGCTTTACATATAAAAAGTCCTAAATAATTCATTGTGGCCTCGTTATGCGTTAAGACTTGGGTTTCTTGTCACGTTAATCTCTATGGCTCCACTCTAAGACTTGATTTGCATTGTAATGCGTTATGACACATTATGATACTTTACTACACATTATTCTATAAGGTGTAAGATTACTTTAATGTATAACTTGAGGGATAAACGATCATTATATACAATACGACCAAGCTTAAGTAAGCCAATTAAGAAGCTTATATTCGGCTTGGCTAGCTACCATAAACCCTAAAAGTAGCAATTAATTGAACTTTTGCCAGATTAAAACATAGTGGCTTGTGATGAGTTCTTTCACGATGTATGATTGCCAAACCATGACACTAAGACATCACATGATTTGCACGTGGAATTGGATCACATTTTGATTTTTTTACACATATTTATGTTTCAAATTCAAGATTACTTTTAATTTTAAAATAAAAAATATTCGAAAGTCAATTCAAATATGAATTCTTGGAGTGCATCTTATTAGTAATAAATCTTTGAAAACTAAAATCACCAGTTTAAAAAAAATCAACTTTATTACTACGATCATCAAAATATATTGATTTTAATTAAATATTTTAATAAAAATATTCCTTTTGACTTTTTGATTAAGATAGTGATGACTGATGACAATACCTTGCCAACCAGCTCTCTTTCAGTCGCTGGAAAAACAAGAAAACCAATAGAGAGGAACAAGAAAAGAATGCAACTTTTCACATACCCAAAAGCCTAAACTACAATATAAAAATAGAACTTGAAATGTAATCGACAAAAAAGTTGCCAAATTTATGAACACTTTTTTTGATCAAATAATTCAAAGAATGTATATTTATAATTAAAAGAATTAGAAATTTGTGGGTATGATGAACAATTTTCACATCTTACCGTCACAAAATTAATGGTGTGATTAATTAAATACAAAATGTAAAAAGAAATCTTTAAAAAGTAAGATTTTTGCACCTTTGTTTTAGTAGTGACAATCCACCAATGTTGGGGCGGCAGATAAATGAACGGCCGATTGCTGTTTGGTCGGATTGGCCGTGAATGTGAAGCTCGATTCCCGGCGATGATCTTGATTTGACGAAGCCTCCGGGGGTGCTGGAAGGTTGAGGTCCAAATCCAAACATAAACCATCATTTCTTGACTTTTGATAATTATCTTGATCATCGGCCACCATGGGTGTAATCGGGCTGTAAGGAACCAAAGACAAGGTGGTGTTGGTTGTAGTGGCGGCGGCGGAGGTGGTGGTGGTGCAGTTGGCCACCCGGTGTCGCCTCATGTGGCCGCCCAATGCTTGTCCGGAATTAAATTCCGTGCCACAGATTGAGCATTCGTGAAGCTTGGAGGAGGATTTCTTCGTGTTTCCGGTTGAAGAAACCCGGTGGTTTAATTGGAGCGAGAGGGAGGAGGAAGATGAAGAATTGTTCTTCCTTGATGGGAATTGCAGTGATGGTTCATCCTCGTCGGAAAACACCGTGTACGGTGGTGGTCTTCTTTTTTCTTCATTGATTCTAGGTTTTTTGTGGCTGGCTCTGTGGCCTCCGAGAGCTTGAAACGACGGAAACGTCCTGCTACACGTTTTGCACTCGTAAACATAAATTCCGGTGAATCCATCGACGGTATCCGTCGAAGTTTGTATATATCTTTTGCTATTAAACTTGTAGCCGGAGAATTGATCATCATTGTTAATGTTCCTGAGAGATACGTTATGACCTTTGGAAAGGAGAATGAGGCACTTGGCGGTGTCTTCTTCTTCGGTGGTGGTGCTACCCGCCGGAAAATCAGAAGACGATGCCGGAGAAGAATTGAAAGGATTGTTGGAGGTGGAAGATTGAGGTACAATTGTGAAGGGAATGGAGGATTGTAGCCTTTGACGCTTTGTACGTTTGCCTTTAACGATGTTGGTTGGACCACCATCATCACCACTTATACCGCCACCGGCGGTGGTGGTTTGGTCCGCAACGTCTGGCTCCATGGCTGGTTAGCTTGAATTCTACTCCACCCCCACACCCACAAAAAATGGAAGATTTCGTAAAGAGAAAATATGGGTTTGGAGGAAGCTAGAAATGAAGTAAGAGGTGGTGGTGAATATTTATATACGGTTGCGTAGGTGGATGGAGGAGAGAGATAGAGAGAGAGAGAACGGTGGAGAGAGAGACAGAGAGGGTGGCGGGTTTATGAGTTTTAAGGAGAATGCGGAGGATATATAGTTAATGTGAATCAGTCCACTAATATTCTTCACTTTTTACATGGATTGGCTTATATTTAGACAGAGCTACGTTATTATATATATATATATATATATATATATAGAGGTTAGTTCAATTACTAACCAAAACTATTGTACAAATTATGCTAACCAACATCAATCAATCATGTTTAATCTTTTAGTTAGGTTNAGAGGTTAGTTCAATTACTAACCAAAACTATTGTACAAATTATGCTAACCAACATCAATCAATCATGTTTAATCTTTTAGTTAGGTTCAAATGTAACTCACATTTAATTGTAAGGGTATTTAGATAATTTATCATTCTTACCGTCTTACGTAACTCCTAAATATTTTAATTGGGAGTTACAAATCTTAAAATATCACTAATTGATATCATGTAATAATGACATTAAATTTCACATGTGTTCATCTTACTGAATTTTACATTTATTCTTCCTATAATGATTTTGATATTGTAAATTTGAAAAAAATATCTTTTGTAAAGATTCTGTTATAGTCCGAGTAATATGGATAATCATAGAGTAAAACGGATCGACGACAACGAGAATGAAAAGCTAAAAACGTCTACGAATACATTCGGAATTCGAACTCCGAAAGTGAAGAAAATAATCAATAAGTGTCCCAATATGAACATACGATAGCTATGAACACGCTAATGTGAAAACGCTAATGTGAACACGCCTATATTAAAGATTTGAGTTCAGGATGACAAACAATATACATTCTTCACTAAGTTTTGAATTTCAGTAAATCCACATCCTTGTTGCTCTTTTTAATTATTTACTTTGTGTAATAATAGTTTTAGTTTTGAAGACTAACTACATAGGGGCTGTTCATTATGTTCATTAAAGATTTGACTTCAGGATGACAAACAATATACATTTTTCACTAAGTTTTCAATTTCAGTAAATTCACATCCTTGTTGCTCTTTTTAATTATCTACTTTGTGTAATAATAGTTTTAGTTTTGTTACTATTTTATGTCATATAGCACAAATCATATCATGCTTATATAGGGGCTGTTCATTATGTTCACTGTGCTATATTACTTGATCACACACATAGCGATTACATTTTTCATACTATGATGCATTAAGACATTTGTGCACAAACACACATATATTAACAGATATCAAATCAACACAAATAACACATACGTAGACGTTGGGATTCGTTATTGTTTTATGTCATATTGTTGATGTTCATTAGGTTCACAAATCCAAACTTGTATGTATTTGTGAAATGTTGCGTGTGTGTGATGTTCATTAGGTTCACAMATCCAAACTTGTATGCATTTCGCCAAAATCATCCATCGTTTTGATGAATATTATGAACCAGATTTTTCGCTAATGATATACACTATTGATCGTATAGATTGACAGTTTCGTAGTTGATTGAAGGTTACAAAATCGTCTGAATAATATAGGTTCACGATGTGATGCAATTTTTTTACAAAATTATTCTTTGAACAGTTGTTCATAGACATCTCATTTAATACATTAATTAAATGATTATTTTTATAGTCTTATTTAATAAGGACCGTTTGATGAGAAAATGAACGATCAAGATCGGTTAGCATAGTTAGCGTGTTCATAGCTATCGTATGTTCATATTGGGACACTTATTGATCATTTTCTTCACTTTCGAAATTTGAATTCCGAATGTATTCGTAGACGCTTTTAGCTTTTTCATTCTCATTGTTGTCGATCCATTTTACTCTATTATTATCCATATTACTCGGATTATAACGAAATCTTTACAAAAAGGACTTTTTTCAAATTTACAATATCAAAATCATTATAGGAAAAATAAATGTAAAATTCACTAAGATGAACACATATGAAACTTCATGTCATTATTACATGAAGATCAATTAGTGATATTTTAATATTTGTAACTCTCAATTAAAATATTTGGGAGTTACATAAGAATGATAAATTACCTAAATACCCTTACAATTAATATGTGAGTTACATTTGAACCTAACTAAAAGATGAAACATGATT